TTCCTCTCCTTTCTCCATCCCCATCCATTGGATGGTGAGCACATCCCACATTTTAGGGCTTCATGAGCTCGTGCTGACACATCCAGGGCCATTCATGGGAACAAATTCCATTCCCAGCACAATTAATGTCAGGATTCGTTAATAAAAGGGATGCGGACTTGAAGATGATACGATCAATAAGAGCAGCAGCCCGGTGCTATTAATTAGCAATGCTATTAATTAGCAGTGCTCATGGTTTTGACTCAGCTGAGTTGCTGCTACACTGGTTTCCCAAAACTTTGGGCCTTTTCATCTTCAGGAAAGCGAGGAATAAGTTGGAAACAGCGCAGCAGGCGCTGGTGCTGGTGTGACCTGGGCTGCAGGTGGCATCTGGAGTCATCTGCTGCTGCTTCCTTTTCCAGCTGGGTGCTTTATCCCACTTGGGATGAGTTCAGCCTTTTCCCTGGATAATGCAGGAGCCCTTCACCCCCAGGACCTGGGGCCACCACCCCAGCAGCTCCCTCAGTGCCCTTTTTTCCACAGAAAGGGACAGCAGGACAACCCCAAGGGATGTGTTTGAGACCAAGGACAAAGCCAAGCCGTGGTGGTGGTGCCCAAATCCCGCAGATCAGTCCATAAATGAGATTTTTAGTGCCAAAACCTGGAATCGGAGGCTCCGCCACTTTGGGTGGAGCTGGGCTTTGTTTCAGAGGTTAAAAATACATAAATTTCCTTGTTGCACTCTGGTTTTATTTTCAACTCTGCAGCAATTTAATATTTTGGAGGTCTGCTTGTACTCCCCCCAATTTTCCATCTGCTACTGTGATTAATTTAAGGCCCAGCTCTATCCTGCCAACCCAGAGCAAACAGAATGGAAACCTTACCTAGATGGTTTGGCACGGAGCAGCAGACACGGATAACTTTGGAATTCGGGGGGGAAAAGCGAAATCCCATGTTCCTGGAGCCGGGATGGGGTTGGACAGGAGCCCTTGCAGGCAGCAGGATCCAGCTGTGCTTCCTCCAGGTTTGTGCTGGGAGGTGTTGCTGAGGAGTCGGAAGCGGCGTGCTCTGGTTTCCTACAGCCTCTCCAGGCAGGAGGATTTGCCACAGCTCGGCTTTTCCCCCTCCCCAGGCCTGGAAACACCATGAGGTAGTGGAAAGTTGCAAGTGAGGAAGGTGGGATTGATTTCCCGAGGCTCTGGAAGGAACAAAACTGCGGAGCTCACCTGGGTGCTCGGCCAGGGGGGCAAAGGAGCATGGGCAGAAAAGGTTATTTTTAATCTGGATTGTGTTTTATGGTTATTTTAATTTTGGATTGTGTTTTATGATTATTTTCAATCTGGGTTGTGTTTGGTAGGAGCCAGCCAGGGATGGGGATGAGGATGGAAATGAGGATGGAAATGAGGATGCAGAGCAGTGGGGCACAAGATGAGGCTGCTTCAGCTGCAGTTCCCACTCACAGGAAAGGGTTTTATGGGGTCCTCATGGAAGCTGGGGATCCAATTAAAGGTGGAAATCTGCTCTGCTGGCAGTCTCCAGCTGCACGAGTGGGTGGTGACACAGGGGACACAGGCAGGAGAGGAGAGTGGGGCCGTCCCTGCTGGCCACAGCAGGAGTCTGGATTGTTCTAGGAAGGGAATAATTCTGCTCTCAGAAGCCTTCAGAGCTCTAATTGGGAAAAGATGGAAAGGGAAACCACAGGACACAGACCTGTCATTAACTAAAGAACTCTGGGATGTGTGAAGCCCACGGTTGTAAGAGCTGGAAGTGGCCAGGAGAGGTTGGTGAATCATTCCAGGGATCCACGGGGAATAGGAAATCCAGATGACAAATGTGTCTGGTTGGGTGTGACTCCAGCAAAACTCCTGGAGCCAGTTCAGTAGCCTGGGCCTCGGGTCCTGCTGCTGTCACTGAGTTGTGGATTTGGGAGCAGTGCACTTGGATTTCAGGAGCCACTTGGGGTAGTGCCATGCAGGGATGTAAAAAAAAAGTCTATTGCTTCCCATGGAAGTGAAAATATCGTGATTTAGGATCCAGTTTTCCAGCAGGGAGTGGCTGTTGAGAGTAAGAAAATCCTTAGTCCAGGTTTCAGAGAAGGGATGATGTAAAATCGTGGAATATCCTGAGTGAGAGGGATCATCCAGCCCAGCCCCTGGCCCTGCACAGACACCCCAAAACCCCACCCTGGGCATCCCTGGATGCTCCTGGAGCTTTTGGGAATGTGCCCATTCCCTGGGGAGCCTGGGCAGTGCCAGCACCCTCTGGGGGAAGAGCCTTGCCCTGAGATCCAGCCTAAAATTCCATGGCACAGCTCCAGCATTCCTCAGGTTCTGTCCCTGTCCCAGGGAGCTGGAGCTGTCCCTCAGGAGAAGCTCCAGGCTGGGATGGCTCCCCTCAGTCTCCTCCAGCTGAACAAACCCAAAACTGTGACCTCAAATGCTCCACATCTGTCCCCTGCAGAGCCTTCCTCATCCCCGAGCTTCTCCTTCGGACACCGTGCCAGATCCAGAGCTCCCTTAGGCTGTGCAGGTGACCAGGGCAGTTCTTCCCAGAGAATCTGAGAATCCTGCAGGTAGGAAAAGCTCTCCAAGATCTGCAATCCAACCATTCCTCAGCGCTGCATGGCTTTAAATCCCTCCAGGAATGGGAACTCAGCAGAGATCAAGGACTGGAGGGGCTGTGGAGTGACCCCTGGTGCTGTCCATGCCACGGTCACCCTGTAAAAAACCTGATTTTTGGGCAGTGAGTGGGTGCAGTTCACCCTGAGCTTTCTCTGGGAGCTGGGCCTGCCTGCACACGGTGTCCAGAGGCAGTTTTCCCTTGGGAGAGGGCAGGAATGTCCACAGTGAGCTCTTGAGGGACGCCCAGGGCTTGTGTGGAGCAAAGCAAAGCACTTCCCGCTGCAGACTGAGATCAGATGGCTTCGTTTGGGAATGAGATCACTGGAGCCTGGCTCTTGTTTTCCCTGTTCCAGGCTCTCATTCCCGCTGGAGCCCTGGCACAGCCGCGTCCTGCCGAGGTTTCCAGGCAGGATTCTCATCCCGGTGCCAGCCGGGCTGTGTGAGCTGATTAGCTCTAAGGAGATCAGAGCCTGACAAGGGCTGCATTGCAGGTAAACACTGGAGCTTTTCCTCCAGCTGAGAGGAGCTGTGAAACACGGCTCAGGAGGAAGGAATGGTGCTGGAAGAACCCTCAGGAAAAATACCAAGAAGTGCACGGAATGATAAGCAGAGCTGATAAGGTGCCTGGTGAGAGACTGAGAGGAGAAGCAAGCACTGATATGATCAGAGCTCTAAATGCTGTCAACATGACAGCAGCGAGGAGCAGGAGAAGGAGCCGTGGTTATCTGATGGAAAATGAGCTCTGGGAAGAGCAGCCATGGGAGCAGGAGGAGCAGGGGGATCCCCAGGGGCAGGGATGGAGGGAGCGCAGAGGAGCGAATCCTCAGCTGTCCCTCATTCCCAAGGCTTGTCTGGCTGTCCTGGTGCCCAGCAGTGTGGTCAGCACTGACACAGAATCACCCTTGGTGCCTCTGATCCTGCCAGGAACCCCCTGAAATTCCCATTTTCCCCGTGCCAGTGAGGTGTCCAGGTTGGCTGATCCCAACAGGTGCCGCTTGTCCGCATCCCTCCCCTTCCCTGGGACGCGGTTTGTGCGAGGAAACGAAGGAAGTCTGGGAAGAGGATGGATCTGGGATGGTTCCAGGGATCCCCAGGACAGCTGGGATAAGTCTGGAGTCTGGGTGTGGCACAGCTTGGGAAGCTGCTCCCAGAGTGGGATTTTGGTCCTGAACTCTGATTTATTGATTGCTGATTTATCGTGTCCGGTGCCACCAGGGCCGGCTGGCTCTTCCTCCCTGGGAGGGGACTGCCAGAGGCCTGTGGTCCCCAGGGGGGAACTGGGTTAACTGGGCCAGTCTGGGAGTTCCAGCTGGAGCCCAGGAGATGCTGGAGCCCAAGAGGTGCTCGGCAGATCTTCCACTTGGCCTTGCTGTGCTCAGCCGGGCTGATGGGGATCCTTTCCACACCTGGTGTTTGCAGAGTTCCCCGGGTGTTCCTGGGTTCCATCCCGTGTTCCTGGGCTCCATCTCCTGTTCCAGGGTTCCATCCCCTGTTCCAGCCTAGTCCAGGAGCACAGTCACCACAGTTACGCTGCACATTCCGGGACAGGGCTCTTGGGAAAGCCGCCCTTCCCAGAGAGCTGTCCTGGAAGGAGCGCTCACATCAAAGGAGCCGGCAACGATAGGGATCAAATAATTGCTGCCTCTCCCTTTCCTTCTGACTCCTGTCACTCACAGTCTGGGGTGGCTGGCTGAGGGCTGGGCAGCAGCAATCCTGACTCTGGGATCTGTGACATCCAGCTGAGGTGGCATGTGGTGACTTTTCCAGCTGGGATAGCTGCTGGGGTAAAATGCGGTGGCATTTTGTGATCCTGTTGGGAGAGCACTGTCCTGCAGCCCCAGCTGGCAGTGGGAGGTGTTTCCCTTAGGAATGTGCTCAGGGAAGGGAGCAGGACCTGGCTGGGGCACAGAGTGCTGTCCTCTCTGCTGGATGCTGGATGGTCACAGAATCCAAAACCAGTTTGGACTGGAAAGGATATCAAATCTCATCCCACGGGCAGGGACACCTCCCACTGTCCCAGGCTGCTCCAAGCCCTGTCCAGCCTGGCCTTGGGCACTTCCAGGGATCCAGGGGCAGCCACAGCTTCTCTGGGAAGCTGTGCCAGGGCCTCCCTACCCTCACAGGGAACATTTTTTCCCTAAAAACCCCGGATCCAGAGCTCAGGGCTGGCCCTCAGCTGCTCACCTTGTGTGTCCCAGCGTGGCCCTGCCCTTGGGTGCCTCGTGATTCACCGGCGCTTTTGGGGCCAAAACCAACAGGGAGAGGAAACGTTCCTGAGCAGCTCTGGCATCAGGAATTCACAGGGAACAATCCAGGAACCGCAGCCACGCTGCCTCGGATTGCTCCTGCTGGGTTTGGCTGTGGTTGGTCCCTCACAATATTCCTGTCTCTCCCCAGAATGCCATGAACCTGCCTCCCGACAAAGCCCGGCTCCTGCGGCAGTACGACAACGAGAAGAAGTGGGAGCTCATCTGTGACCAGGTAAGGAGCCTCTGGAGAGCCTTTGGGAGGTGAGAAGAAGTGGGAGCTCATCTGTGACCAGGTAAGGAGCCTCTGGAGAGCCTTTGGGAGATGCCTGTCTCCAGCTGTTCCATCCTGGGCTGAGCAGGGCCTTGCAGGGCACCTGTTCCCGTGAGTTCCAAGCGCTCATTCCTTCTGCTGCCTTGTTGGTGAGCACTCCCAGAGGCCTCCCAGCCACCCCAATCCATCCTGGCACACTGTTATTCCATGATTTGTGTCATGTTCTCAGTGTCCCAGAGGGCTGTGAGCTCTGTGCTGCAGGCTGTGGTGGCAGCAGGTCAGGCAGAAGCCGTTTGATCCCAAATTCCCACCTCACAGAGGGATATCCCTTTCCCCTCTGATGTTTCCATCTCAGCCTGAGCTCAGAGTCCTGCCCTGAACAAACCATCTCAGCCCAGGGGCTGCTGGGCTCCCACGTCACCTCCAGGGACAGACAGGAGCCTCTGCTCTGCTCCAGAGGCTGGGAACGACCTCGGCTTGGGCAGTGCCAGATGCTGAGGAATCTCCTCGGGTGTGCAGCAATTAACAGGATGTGATGGATAAACAAGAACGGCATTTTGGGGGGAAATGTGCCAAAGGTGGGATTGGGACTGGGGAGCCAGCAGCAAAACTGGGATCTGCTGTGAAGTTCAGCAGTAGTGGTTAGTGAAAATGATTAGTCCAGCACTGGGAAAGTGGGATGTTCCCTTGGGAACTCAGCAGAAGCAGGGTGAGAGCTTGCCAGGAGGTCAGGGACTTCAGGATAAATACATTTATGGGACATTTCCTAGTCAGCTGTTGCCATGCTGGGGTGTCTGACACACTCATGGAATTCCAGACTGGTTTGGGTTGGGAGTTCCAACCCCAGGGACACCTTCCACTATCCCAGATTGTTCCAAACCCTGTCCAGCCTGGCCTTGGACACTTCCAGGGATCCAGGGACAGCCACAGCTGCTCTGGGCACCCTGTGCCAGGGCCTCTCCACCCTCACAGGGAAGGATCCCTTCTTAATAGCCCATCTAATCCTGCCCTCTGGCAGTTTAAACTCATTGCACAGGTACCTTAAAGTAAAAATACAGAATTGCCTTTTTTCCCCACGAGTTGCCCGTGCAGAGAATGTAAAGCTTGAGCTATTTAAAGATTCATTTTACTGAGACAGTGAAAAATCACACTGCTGCGAATGACTGCAGATTCCCCTGGATCCCTGGGAGTGTCCCAGGCCAGGCTGGACAGGGTTTGGAGCAGCCTGGGACGGTGGGAGGTGTCCCTGCCGTGGCTTTAAGGTGCCTCCCAACCCAGTGCATTGAGTGATTCCATGATTTGTGTCAGGGGTGTTCCCAGAGCTCCGTGCTGAATTCCCGCTGGCAGCGGCACAGGCTGGAGCCGTTTGATCCCAGCCTGGATGTGCAAATTCCCAGCCCGGAGCTGATCCACCCTTTGCAGCTGCTGCTGATTCACTGCCCAGCTCCGGGCTGAGATAGGAGGGATGAGCAGATGCGAAGGAAATTTGCAATCTGGAGTAATCGCTGCTCCCGACAGCTCCTTACACAACTCAGGGCTGGGCCGAGTCCCTTCCCTGGGATGAGCATTCCCATCCTTTGGAAAGGCAGGGCTGATGGGAGCCAGCAGTGCCAGCAGCAGCAGGAGGTGACACAGTGATGACACAGTGCCACCTGTCCCATGGTGGCCCCACCGAGCTGGGGTCTGCCACAGCTCCCCAACATCCACAGCTCTGTGAGCAGGTGGCACCAAAAAGCACCAAAAATCAACATTTGGGATGTGAAATATTTATATTCCCTGGAATAACGGGGATGAGGTTCCAGGAACAGCGGTTGTGCAGGATTTTTTTATTCTAAATGCTAATTTTGACTCCTGCTTTCCCTTGGTTTCACCCATTATGCCATTTTCACCTGGTTTTGCTTATAAATCCATGAGGAAATGAACTCATTCTCTCCTGTGCTGGTTCTCAGCTTACATCTTCGAGGGAAAAATGTCCAGAAATGGTATTTTCTAAGCAGTCTATATTCTAAATCTATATTTCTAAATATAATATATATTATATATAATAATTATAAATATAAATAATATATGAAATATAATAATGACAGATATAATTATATAATATAAATATAAATATATAATATAATATAATATAATATTATTATAATATAATATATATTATATAAATATATATTATATATTATAATGTAATAAATATAATATATTATACAACAATATAATATAATATACAACAATATAACATAACATAGCATAGCATAACATAACATAACATAACATAACATAACATAACATAACATAATATAGTATCTGCATATATAATTCTACATATTCTATATTTCTAAATATATATATTCTATATATAACCTATATTTCTGAACAGTCTATATATATAAATATTCAGCAGCAGATCCTGAATATTTATCTGTGGAATATTTGGAGTTAATCCCCATAAAGGAACTCTCACTTTTGCAAAAATGAAATTAACAAAAGTGGGGAACTGATTTGATGAGGATGATGATGATGATGATGATGATGATAATAATAATAATAATAATAATAATAATAATAATAATAATAATAATAATAATAATAATAATTATAATAGTCTGTTGTGGATAGGATGATTTGCATAGTTTGAGTCATTGTAAGGGCTGCTGGGCTGGTTGTGGAGGACTCATCCCGCTTGGAATTTTCTCTTCCTTTGTTTATAAACTTATCAAATCATCTCAGAATTGTCCTCAGAGCTTGCTCTGATCTCTCTGGAGAAGGCAGAAGCAGGAGAAGAAGAGGAAAGCCAGGAGATCTGTTGGGAAGGGTCAGGGTGGCCCTCTGAGGGGTTGGTGCTGGGACAAGGATGCCATTTCCTGGCCTGGAAATCAGGGAATGGCATCGGGAAAGGCTTTTTTTGGAAGGCTCTGTCCAGCTGGGTGCCAGGAGGGGCTGCAGAGGGAGGTGGGTGAGCAGGGGAGGCATGGGGACATCCTGCAAAGTTCTTCGTGTCCCTCTAATGGCAAAGGGTGGCAGGGGCGTCACCGCGGCCTGGCCCTGGGACGCGCGGCAGGTGGGAATAAGGGATGGGGAGTTCCACAGGGAGCTTGGGAGGTTTGCACCCAAAACAAAGAGAGAGCTCTTCCTTCCCTGCTGAAGCTCCAGGAGAAGGCAGGCGCTGGGTGTTCTGGAGGCTGGTGGCCAGCCTGGGGCTCTTGGGGTGGCCTTGGTGAACGGGGCCCAGCCCTTTGCTGGGCTTCCAAAGGCTTTCCCTGCCCACGGGATCTGTGGATGGCTGCTGGAGAAGGGCCTGAGCGAGGAGCGGGGTGTTGTGGGGGTGCTGTGCCATTTTTTGTCACAAGTTCCTCAGTGGAGCCCAGATTTCTCCTCAGGAATGTGCTGGGGGAACCGGAGCCCTTACGGTGCCTGTGACCCTTTCACAACACAGATCCAGGGCCAGTATCCAGCCAAGGGTTTTCCATCGCTTTTTATGGCTGCAGAAACCATTTGCAGCTCTGGTTTGAGGGCCTTTGCTTAAAAAAACATCGCGTATTCCAGGGAATCTGCCCTCTGGGAGTAAATACAGGGCAGGAAATCCCGTGGTTTACTGAATTCAGGAGAAGGTGGACTTTGGGACACTCGTGGCTTTTCCCATCTGACTGGGTCACCCTGGGAAAGGGGGCTCAGGGAAGATCAGACGAGGAGGGATGGAGAGGTTGGAGATAAAGGCACCAGGAGTCACAGGCTCAGCGATTTGGGATTGGGAAGGGCTCAGCACCCCTGGGATGGGAGGGAGCAGCAGCTGGGTTCAGTGCTGACCTGCTTTGGCAGGATGTTAATCCCGGGGGAATGGATCATTGTGACTCCTCATCAGTGCAGGGATCAGCAGCTGCTGTCACCTCATTCCACAAGGACACTTCCAAAGCCACACGTTGTCCTGCTGGTGGGAATGCTGACACAGGAACTGCAGGAGATGAGGAATTCTGCACTGCACTCATGATGTGCTTGAGACACTGCTCCCCATCTTCCCTGTCCATCTCCTTCCCCACCGATCCCAGTCCATGGGATTTATGCCCTCGCAGCACTGTGGGATTCCGATCCCGAGTCGGATGCGCCGGGCGCTTCCCCGGCATCTGTGAATCCCAAGAATGAAACAGCTTAGCGAGGATAATGATAATAATGAGAATAACATATGTGCTAATATAGAAAAATGTCCTGAATGGTTCTGGGAGCCAAGGATTGTTGGGAAAGCCACAATTTCCTGGTTCCGGAATGAATCCGTTTTCCAGAGCTGGGCGATCAGGGGATGTGTCGGGTTCTTTGCAGGATCACGTGGAAGTGCAGGAGTCCTGCAGTTCCTCTTGGCTGCTGAAGTAAAGCCCCCCCAGGTTCCCCTTTTTTCCTGTATCTGTCGGAAAACAAAGTGCTGATTCTGGATGAAGGAGGCACCAGAGAGGTGTTGTGCTCCTGCCTCCAGGATTTTCCCCTGGATTGTGGGATCATGGAATGGGCTGGGTTGGAAAGGGCTTTAGAGCCACTCAGACCCACCCCTGCCATGGGCAGAGACAACTTCCACTGTCCCAGGTTATCCAAGCCTGGCCTTGGGCACTTGCAGGGATCCACAGCTGCACTGGGAATTCCAGCCCAGCCTCTCCCCACCCTCCCAGCCAGGAATTCCTTCCCAATATCCCATCCAGCCCTGCCCTCCGGCAGTGGGAAGCCATTCCCTGTGTCCTGTTCCTCCATCCCTCATCCCAAATCCCTGTCAGAATTCAATCCCAGTGAATTCTCCCCATTTATTCCCCCAAAGGGAGATGCTGGGCCCGGCTCATCTCGTTGCTCTCCGGTGTTGCTCTCCTTGCATTCCCTCTGTGCTGTTCCATCCTGGCTTACACCACCGCTCCTCAGGGATTTTCCAAGTCAGAAAAGGCCTTTATCTTTGGGAATTAGACTCGTTTGCTTTGGAGGACAAAGGCAGTGTGGAGTCATTGCTGCTCCCTGCAGATAATGCTGGAGCTCACAGCAGTCACGTAGTGGAGATAAAAGAGGTTTCACCAGGATTTAGGAACTTTGTTGTGTCTGAATGGCTCAATCCAGGGAAGCCACCATGTCCCAGTCGTGATGTCACCCCACAGCATTTGCTGAGCAAAGTTTGGCCGCTCCAATCCGGATTTTAGGCTTTTTATGCGTGTGGTAAAAAATCCCCGACCTCGTCATTCAGCTGGTGTTAAATCCTGAGTTTGGAAGCTGAGCTGGCCAGGGAGTGGGTGGGAATTGCCAGAAGTGGAGGGGAGGAGCTGACAGGAAAAAAAAGCATGGATTTTTAACTCTTTAATTATGGATTCGAAGGAAGAGCAGTGCTTTGGGAAGCGTGGGATGGACCACGAGAGAATTCCAGCGGATTCCAGGGAGATCAGCCTGCAGCCAGCTCCATTCCCAACCCCTGGGAGCTCCCAGTCAGATTTTTGGGAAGAGGGTGGCTGTGACCAGACCTCCAGGGTGGATGGAGGCCTCACTGCACAGCCCCAACCCTGGCCCTCGCAGCTTCTTAATCAGCCTCTAATATAAAACACTCGGAGCTGGATAAACCCAGACAGGAATCATGGCCAGGAAAGGGCATTTTAAAGGCTAATCCTTCATAGCTTTCCAAACCAGCAAAGAAGAAACGCTTGAAGGGGTTGTAAAAATGTTTCCAGGCCTAGGAGATGTTAACCACGAGTGGTTTTTGGTCACTCCTCAGGTAAGAGCGTTGCTGGTGTTTGCTGCTCGTGGATAAATCCTTTAACCCAAATAATTCCACTCCACAAGAACCAGCAGCGTCTCTTTAAGCCGAGTTGCTGCAGAGATTATTACATAAATACATAATTACAGCCAGGTTTGAGGAAAACAAACAAAACCATCCAGTAGCTGCATCCCAGACTGTTAAATGAGCTCGGTGAGGCTCTTTAAACATTTCATTTTGAAGATTCCAGGCAATTAAAACTGGTGGTTGGGAAAAGCTCCTGTCACTTCAGCAGATGAGGGTCGATTACTTGGGAAGAGAAATGAATCCAGCAGAGCAGAAGGGCTTTTCTGGGGGATTGGGCTGAGGACAGCTCTGAGAGAGCCCCAGAAACGGGGGGAGAAATGGGAGAGGGAAGGTGGAGCGTTGTTGGGATGGGATCCTGCTGCCAGGAGGACGTGGCTGGGGGTGGAATTGGAGGATCCTTAAGGGCTCTTCCAACCCAAAGCACTCTGAGATCCCAGGAAATCTCTGTCTGCCCCACGGAGCCACCGAGGTGAGCCCGGCTCCCAGAATCCCTGGGAGAGAGCCAGGAAGAATCCACGGTGGTGGATGTGGTGCTGGAGCAGGACAGGCCCTGCTGGAGGCACTTTGTCCAGAGAAGAGCCCTCAGTGAAGAACTTTGCATTTTCTGAGCTGTTTTTTAGATAAAATAGGAAATGCCAATTCCAGAGGCGCACGGAAGAAGAATCCAGCTGTGCAAGAGGAAAGCCATGAGTGCTCTGTGACTTCCAGAGCTCCCACCAGGGCTGCTGGAGCTCAGGGAAAAGTTTTTCCTTCATTTTTTCCTGCTGGCCATGATGGATTATTTTTTTTTTCCCCCCAGCAAGCAGCAAGATAATAACAGGAAGAACTTGTGGTGTTCAGCCGGTTCTGGTAACTGGGCAGCAGTGTCCTGTTCATTCTGGAATAACTTTGGGATAACGGAGTCAGAATTGCATCCTGAACTAATAAAGGGAGGTTTCAGATAACAGTTATAAAATGGGAAATTTCAGGAGGTTGGGATGAGATCTTTCCTCCAGGGAAAGGGGCAGAATAGCTTCAAGTTCTTCCAAGATACAAATAGGATTAGAATTTTTGGGAATGCTGTGAGGAGGTTTGGACACAGCATTCTCTGCCTGTGGAGCAGCTCGTGTTTCACAGCAGCTTTGGTGGGATAAACTTCAGCTGGACACTGGGAAAGCAGGGAAAAATCAGGGAGCTCTCAGGAGACAGAGCTGCTGTGATCTGGGGCTGAGGGGGGATTGGCTGGAAGGTTTGGGAGGAGCTGGGATGGAATTCCCAGAGAAGCTGTGGCTGCCTCTGGATCCCTGGGAGTGCCCAAGGCCAGGCTGGATTTGGGATTTGGAGCAGCCTGGGATGGTGGAAGGTTTTCTCCAAGTGGTTAAAAAGGATTTTGTGGTGGTGCATCCATCTGCTCTCCTGACCCTTCTCTTTCCTCTCTCCATGCTCCTGTTCAGCAGAAACCCTGGAATTTCAGATGGATGTGCAGCTAAAATTCAGAATTCCCACTGAATGTTTAAGGTGTCTTTTTGTGCTGTTGATGTAAATGTCAAAATCCATTTAAATCTCTTTTATTTGCATACACAGGTTATCAACTTAGGACCAGAATGTTTTAAAATATAAATTGTTTAATATGTACGTGGTGCAAGAGTTTCCTGGATAAACACAGAAAAATGGCTGATGTTTATTCCTGTCTCTTTTCCAGGAAAGATTCCAAGTGAAGAATCCTCCACACACGTACATCCAGAAGCTGAAGGGGTATCTGGACCCAGCAGTGACCAGGAAGGTGAGGAGCATCCTGGTTCCTCCTGCCTGTCCCTCATTCCTCAGCCACCATGGTCCAGGTTCCTTCCTGCCTTTGTGCAAAGTCTCAGGGAGAGGCAAAGAGAAATTGGGAATTTGCTGCAGTTTTCCAGCTTGGGAAGGAGAGCAGATGTTGGGAAGCCAGGGATCATCTGGCACAGAGCTTGGATAAATAACCTGATAAATTGTCTCTGAGCTGGGCTCTAGGCCTGGCTTTGGCTAAAGCCCTGTCTGATGCCCCTGGCTCAGCCCTGGGAAGGGGTGTCCATATTTTGAGTCCTTTTCTCTGGGAATTTGCCTGGCAGAGGTTCAGTGCAGCTGAGTGCACTGTTCATGGTGACAGCTCCATCTGTGGGGATCAGCTCCATCCATAGGGACCAACTCCATCCATGGTGATCAGCTCCATCCACAGGGATCAGCTCCTTCCCTAGGGATCAGCTCCATCCATAGGGACCAACTCCATCCATGGTGATCAGCTCCATCCATGGTGATCAGCTCCATCCCTAGGGACCAGCTCCATCCATGGTGACAACTACCAGAGCCTCTAAAACACACCCAGAAATGCTGCAGAGCCCAGCAGGTCCCAGCCTGGCCTGGCTCCGTTATCCCAAACTTTCCCTGCAGTGATCCAGGGTGGGTTCCCTGTGGAAAACACGGATCCTGCTCCGGCCCCTCGCTCCCTGTGCTCCCAGCCCTGGGACAGTGCTGCTCTTGTGGGAGCCTCCAGCCAGGAGCAGGGAGCCATTTCCAAGGAAACCTTGACATTTCCCCTGTGGATTTTTTCCCAGCCAGTGAACGGGGTCTTTGTGGTTTTTCTCTCCGGAGGGTTTTGGAGATTGTTCTGTGTTTGGCTTCGCTCCGTGAGCTCACATTGGAGCCTTTCTTATCCGAGGTGCCAAATGACAAACCCAAAGGGGCTGGAAATGCCGAGTTCCTGCTGGCCCCGGGGTTATTCCGGATCAGCCCTTCCTGGAGACGTCCCCGCAGGGATGGGAGAGCTCATCCCACCTGGACCCTTGCTGGGATTGAGTGGTGGCACCGGTTCAGCCGGTGCTCACATCCAGGAATTCCTTCCCAGTATCCCACCTGAGCCTGCCCTTACCCTTCTCCTCCCATTTAACTCTCAGGGATGGGAATGTGCCCAAACAGCTGCTCCAGAGGGATTTCTCCAGCTGTTTCAGCACTTTTCCATGAGCAGGGAGAAGAGGATACTCCAATCCTGCTCCAGATGGGATTGAGGTGCCCCTGTCACCTCATTTTCTAAGGAGCTCTGCAGCCTTCAGGAGAAAGTTTGATGCTGCACCAAAGCTTGGCTTGTAAAGAAGCTTGTTTATTTATCTCCAGGCTTTTAATTTCCTTAATGCTGGAAGCTGCAGGATGTTCCTGGGAACAGAAAGGATTTCTCTTTTTCGTGTTTTTGTTGACTGCTGGGCTGCTGTTGCTGCATTCCTGGGGATTTAGAGGAGTTCTCAGTCAGCTCCATGTTTTCCTCATTCACTCTGTGCTGGGTGAGATGTTGAGATTTTTTAATAGAACCTAATTGTTATTTTTGCTGCCCATTCCATTGCAGAAATTCAGGAGACGAGTCCAGGAGTCGACCCAGGTGCTCCGAGAACTGGAAATTTCCTTGAGGACAAACCACATTGGGTGAGAATTTATTATGCCTCTGGTTCCATTAATAATATTAATATTAATATTAATTTTATTAATAATAATAGTAAGAAGAACTATTATTATTATTATTAGCATCATTATCATTATTATTTTCATTACCATTATTTTAATTATTAATTTCATTTTTATTATTATTATTATTTTCATTTTTATTTCCATTTCAAATTAATTAATTAATTTATTTATTTATTACTTTTATTTTTATTATTTGCATTGTTGCCAGAGGTTTTGTTTTTTTATCAGACATCCCTTTCCCATCCACATTTCCACCAATTCCACCTTCCTGTGGGACCAGGAGCACTGGGAGCTTTTCCAGTGTTTTTCTCCATGATTACACACCGTGGCCAGCTCAATTCCATCCATTTTTTGGGGGATTCTGCTGTGATTTGGAGGGAATCAGGGGCTGTTTTAAGCTGTGGGAGGAATTGCAATCCCATTTGGGTGATGGGAACATTCCTTGGAGCTGCACATCCCAAAAACTCCTCCCACACCCCTTCCAGGTGTTCCCTCCTTTTCCAACACAAAGGATTCCCCACCAGAGGTTTGGGGAATCCTTGGATGCTCTTGGATTTGGGATGAGCAGGGAGGTTTGGGGAATCCTTGGATGCTCTTGGATTTGGGAGGTTTGGGGAATCCTTGGATGCTCTTGGATTTGGGAGGTTTGGGGAATCCTTGGATGCTCTTGGATTTGGAATGAGCAGGAGGAGCCTCAGTGCTGCACCAGGAAAAGAGGGGACAGCGCCAATGTTCATTCCTTCAGCCCCTGAATCCTTAAACAAGGATTTTTCCCAAACCAAGGCCGGTTATTTTCGCAGGGAAATGATAAAAAATGTCCATCCTGAGGATCAGAATAAGTCAGAGGTGATGAATTCCCACTCCACGAGCCTGGAGCTCCACTTCCCTCCCTGGATTCCCTCATCCCAGCCACTCCCAGGGGATTTGCTGCCCCAGTTGGGGTTTAGAGAAGAGCTGAGGTTCCTTTTCTCCCTGGATTTGCCCCTAAAAGGATGGATTTTCAATTTTTTCTTAGCATTTTCAAAGCTTTGGACCACGATGGACTTTCCTGAATTATTTTGCAAAACCCAGGGGCCAGAATTCACTGTAACAGGTGCACACCTTTTAAAAAAGAGGCAAAATTAAAATTTAATATTTTTTTTTTCCCCCTGAGTGAGACCCAAAGTGCTGCAGTGGCTCTGTCTCTGGTTTTTCTGAGAATTCCAGGGAATTCCAACTCCCCAGGAAGGCTCTAATGTCTGTTGTTTCTCTCACAGATGGGTCAGGGAGTTCCTGAATGAGGAGAACAAAGGCCTGGATGTCCTGGTGGAATATCTGTCCTTTGCCCAGTATGCAGTCACGTAAGTGAGACATTCCCGGGATTTTCTGCCAGCAAATCCATGGATTTTAGGAAATATTCCTTCATTCCAAAGGGGTTAAACACTGAACAGGCTGCCCAGGGCAGTGGTGGAATCACAATCCCTGGAATTGTTCAAGAATAGGTCTGGTGGGCATGGAAGTGTTTGGTGGTTCTGGTTTTTCCCAGCCTCAATAATTCCATGATTCTGTGGGCCTGAGAGCAGAGGAAATCCTGATGTGAGTCTGGAATTATTTCATCACAGCAAACAAAAAAAAAAGAAACAAACCCAAAAAATCCTGAATTTAAATCTTGGGATTATTTATCTCTAGTCTATATTTTTTATCTTTGGTTTCTGAGCCACCTTAGGGGTGGAAAACCCATCCCACAACGTGTGCAAAGATGCAGGATTCCTTGGAAATAGGTTTGGAATTGGTGCCCCCAGCCCAGGGCTTTGTATTCCTGCTGTGTTCCAAGGGATTCCCAGCCCCCAGGTGCTGCAGCAGATGTGCCAGGAGCCTTTCCTGGGGCAATTCCAGGGGTGTTTAGGAAGTTGGGAAGACTGGAAAATGAAGCTGGGATCAGATTGAGTTGTTTGGCTCATAAATCATGACATGGGCTCTGAGAAACCAGATCTTTCAGTGGAGATCTTCAGCTGGGAGTTGGTTTTACTGGTGTGGAATCAGCCCAGACTGGTTTGGGCTGGGAGGGACCCTCAAGCCCATCCCTGCCATGGACAGGGAGCTTCCCTCTATCCCAGGGTGCTCCAAACCCCGTCCAGCCTGGCTGTGGGGAATGAATCCACATTCATTCAGGATATCGTAACAGCTTTTTTTTTCCTGTAAAAATGAAAAAGAAGCCTTAGGTTAAAGATAATTTAAGAGTAGAAACTCAAGCTGGGGAGAGCTGATAATTTATTTTTAGCAGATTTACGTCCGTCACTGCCCAGAAAAGAGATTTGTGGTGGGGTTGCAGGAAAATTTATGAGGGAAAATCCTTTGGTTTCAAATGTTACCCACTGGAAAAAACGGTGCACGGCAAAAAGAAATGTTTGTACAAAGCCTTTCTTCCTAAATTTCTATAAATGTACGCGAGGAACTCGCTGGGTTTTTCCCCTCTGGCACGGGGAACATGAGTAATAACCTCAGGAGCTGGAAGGGGAACCAGCAATTCCTGCTTGGAATAGCAGAACAGCAGGCAGGGAGTCAGAAATCAGGGAATCTGGGATGATTGTGGTAATATTTGAATGTGCTGGGAGGTTTGTGGGGCCGAGCTGGGATGGAGGAAACCAAAGTGATTTATGGAGAATCCATAAATCATAAATCAGAGAGCTCCCAGAATTCCCACTTCTTCGTTCCAGGCAGGGATATTCTGCAGCAAGCAGCTTTTATTTTATTTTATTTTATTTTATTTTATTTTATTTTATTTTATTTTAGTTTAGTTTAGTTTATTTTATTTTATTTTATTTTATTTTATTTTATTTTATTTTATTTTATTTTATTTTATTTTATTTTATTTTATTTTATTTTATTTTTTATTTTTTTATTTTATTTTTTATTTTTTATTTTTTATTTTTATTTTTTATTTTTAAATATCTTTAAATTTTTTAATTTTTATATTTTTATGTTTATTTCATTATATTATTTTATTTTATTTTATTTTATATTATTTAAATTTCTTTAATTTTTTTATTTTTATTTTTATTTAATTTAATATTATTTTTAATATTTAAATATATTTAAATTTTTATTTTTTATTTTTATTTATTTTTATTTTATTTTATTTTATTTTATTTTATTTTATTTTTTTTTTTTTTTTAATTTTATTTTTGGATTTATTTTATGTTGAAGAAGCTGTTTGGTCCCGTTTGGATGTGGCCCAGAGGGATTCAGAGCCCTGAGGATGTAGGACCAGGGCCACTGGTGGCCTTGGCAGGGCTGGGAATGGTTGGATTCCATGGTCTTGGAGGGCTTTCCCAGCCTGAACG